TATACTGGTGTATGAATGGCGTTCTCCAACAATTCTTAGCAAATCTAAGCTTTATTTTTTGCCACAAAAACCTGATCTTTTATTAAAAAAATATTTAAACTATATGGACTTAGAAGTATTAGAATATAAAAGAGTCTCACATTTAAATATTAAAGGGTAAATCATAGGGAGAATTTCAGTTAAGGAATAAGGGAAAAGACTTAATTTCAAGTGGGTCTAAAAACATTTTAAAAATTCAATTTAGTCTGGGGGAGAAAAATTAGAAGAATTTTTATAGTAAAAAAGACTAAAATACCCTTCACATGCAAATTTCATGAGTTGACATGTCAATAATTTATAAAACTGACATTAATTTTTCATCAGTTGTTAAAATTGGTAACTTTTCTTGTTAATTTATGAACATCGGTTGTGTAAATACTAAATACTGATGCTCATAAATTAACATGTAAAGTTAGCAAAAAATAATAGTTAATATTACTGGGTGTCTAACAAATGAATATAATTTACAAGTGATATTGATAAATTAACAAGTATAGTAAAAAAAAAATTAATAACCAGTGATTTGGCTTAACACATGAAAGGTATTTTAGTCTTTCATTGTCAATTTTTTTTTAACTTTTCTCCTTTGGATTAAATTAAAATTTCAAAATGTTTTTGTATCCACTTGAAATTAAATATCTTCCTTAGTCCTTAACTGAAAATTCTCTCTAAATTATAAATATACAAACTTAAAAATTATCTAACTAAATGACTTAAGTTATTTTAATAAATTATATTATTTTTAAATATATTTAATATAAAAAATCTAACAAAAAGTCCTGCACTTGTGCAAAGCCAATGTGGGAAGTTGGATTGTGGAGGCCCACAGTCTCCGTTAATTCAAGTCCTATTTAAAAAAAAGTTCCCGTTGCATGGGTGACATGAATTTATGCAATCATTACTAAAAGGTTTTACTCTAGTGAAATGAACTAATTTTTTATAATATGATAAATTAATATTTAAATTCTCTTTAAAGTAGGTGTTTATATTTTGTATCCTGTTTATATTTAAGTAGAGTTGCACTCAATAATATGATACTTAATCAACAATTGAAAAGTATTTTCAATTATTCAAATCACTCCACCAACGTTCCTGCTCGTCTTCCAGATGAGCTCGGCCAAAACCTGGACGGGTTCAACGTGCGTCCCCATGTCTAAGCATGTGCATGAAGTATTCAAGTCAAGGGAAAGGAAGAAAACTGACTCAAAGGGATCAGTTTTGGTGCTAGTGTCTGAACACCAATACAGATTGGCTGGATTAAAATTGGACCATTCAAATTTAATATAATTTTATTTTTCTATTTCTTAATAAATTATTTTTAATGGATACAAAATTTGAAATAAACATAACTTTATAACTTCGTCTTGTTAAAAATATTTTTTCTATGTACAAATTTTAAATTAAAACCGAAAAAATCATTTTTGAAACACGCAAATCTCATTTCTTCTTTTTGTCGCACAAAGAAATCTCATCCGCTAACTAGAGGCATTATATTTAGCGAAGTGTTGGAAGTGAATGGAGTGAAAGTCCAAAGTGATGTCAGGTTTTCCCCCGCAAATTACGGACCCTAGCGTTTCCTCCTCACATCCTCGGTCTTTCAAATCAACAAGGATCGTGTTATCTTCACTTGAAAAAAAAGAGTAAAATAAAGGATCAACATTCCTATTTCCTAATACATGCCAGCAGCAAATAGCAAGTCCCGTCTTTCATTTTTTGCATAAAACAAACAAAACGTAGTCCATTCAAGCGAATCAGAGACGGCGGTGTTAGATTTTATTGGGAAGCAAACAAAGATATATAATAATTAATTAAAATTGAGAGGGAGTAATGCCGGTGGTATTTGACTTGTTCTTGGTTTGAAATTAACAAAACGTGACAGGTACATTCTAAGCCTACACCATCCAGCTGTGTCTTTGGTTGCGAAGCGGAAGAATCAACACCACATCTTTTTCAATTGCCCTCTCCCCAGAGCAATTTGGTTTGGTGCCCTCTCCATTCACTCGACTAACTTGATAGAAGGAAATTCTCTGCTCAAATTAAAAAATTTCCTACTTCTATACCCTTCCAAAAAGATCAATCCTAATCAATTTAATCTGGGGAAAAAGAAATCAGAGTATCGATTAGCACCCGGCTCATAGAATATCTTGAGAGCAATTATTGAGCAACGAGCAGGTTACCAAAGAGAACTAGAGACTAAATCATCATTTTCATGTCGTGAGTCCCACATTGAGAGGCCATATTGGTAGAATGTAATTTATAAGTCAGCTGGGTATCTTTTTATGAGGCACCTTTTGGAGATGAGTTCTATTTAAATGGCTTGTGGTTGTGACATTGGTGCTCTCGTTGAGAGTTGCTGTTCATGGAAAGGGCTATCCAAACCGAAGGTTGAATAAAGCGTCGTGGAGTGTAAGCCGTTGCAGATGTCAGCTCTTAAGGGGTGGGCTATGTCATGAGTCTTACATCGGGAGATTACATTGGTGGGAGCTAGTTTATAAGTTAGCTGGACACCCTTCCCTTACGAGGTGCATTTTATACTCTTATTGAGTTTTGAACTCACTCCCAAAAAACGTCTTGGAAGGGTACTCATGACACCTTATCACAAGAATCAACTATGCGATCTCTACCCTCAAGCAACATCTCAGATGGCTGTTATCTGCTATGCACATGATTGCTTGTGCCGTGCCATCAAGTGGATCTGGAACCTCGCTCGCTCGCGGAAAGCAATCGTCTATTTCCTACGGCGAAAATTCCAGTTGCCTGCATGTCAAAATTACTTTTCCACTTATTGTTCGTTTAACTTTTATATTTTCTTTTACCGTTGTTTATTAATATAATTGTCTTTTAACGAAAAAAAGCGAAAAACTTGTTTTTGTGGTTCAAACTAACTAGAATCAACAGATGGATGAGCTCTATGACTCATCTTACACAACGCCCCAGGCGGCTGCATTTTAATTTGTTCAACGCCCTTCTACACACGGCTCCTACAAATATCAATTTACCTATCGATGAGAAAATCTTCACTGTTTTGATCCCCAGACGTTATATGAGCAATTTATATATATATATATATATATATATAGTTGTTAATTATAATTTAATTAACAAAAATGGATTTTTTAAAATAGCTATATGTATTCCGTCGACTATGTTAAACCACGCATAACCCTTTTAAAAGGCTGGTAATCAATGTGAAAACGTGATTTAAGGAAAAAAAAAAATCGTTGACGATGAGAAAGCTGGTGCAGATTCCAGGACAGATGTAAATTCATTCATTTTTTCTTTCATTTATATGATAGGTTTGAAACGGTTAGCTGGTAAGAATGGGAGAGATTTCGTGACCATCCCCAATTGATTTTCTGTTAATTATATTTTCTAATTAACGTATGAACATAAGAATAAACCTGTCTTCTCATTCGATTTTTTTCTCCCACAGATCAAAATTCTTGGCATGTTATTTTACTCACCATAATCTCAATTTCTATCCCTGGTTGCTCCAACGAAGGGTTTTAGCATGTTATTAATTTGACAGCTGACGAAAGAATAAGAAACAGAACTAAACGCACCTTTGCCTACCGCTTTCCACAAATCATCAATGAAGCAAGGCAAAACAATTGTACTGTATCTTTTTTTTCCCCCCAATAAAATATTAAAGCAAAGCCATATAAAATATAATAAACAGTACCTGCTTATCTCTAAAATAATAATCACCTACGCTCTAGAAGAGGGTTTGTTAAACACTAAAGTATTGACTGTCAATATAGCACGAGCAACTCTAACAGTCCAATTGGTGCATTTATTATTCTTTCGATAAACACTTATCCAAAATAACATAACTTTTTCCGTCTTTATAACATGGAAACCTTGCTCGCAGGTCTTAGGCACAGCAAGATAGCAAATTCGGAGCCTTTTCCTTCCGCTGCTAAAGTAAATTCAATGTCCCTCAAGTCCAGTAGACGCCTGAAAAAACCTCAACGTTAAAATATGCCACCACTATTAATATACTCTCACCGTTAAAAAATATAAAATATTTTTAATTAAATTTTACTCTCAATAAAGTAGTTACTTACTTTTAAAGTAATCCTATCTTTCTATATTTACAATATAAAGCCATTTATCAATAAAGATACTTATGAAAAAAGACAATAATTATATTCTAAAAGATTAAAATTTCTTACATTTTGAACATCTAACTATTTAAAAAATACCTCACATTTTTTAACGAAGAGAGTATGTATTATTTGAATTTCTTTTATTAAGTTAACACTCCTCCTATTCTTATTATAAGGCACCTTTTAAAAGAGTTTTTTAATCTTTAATATAAAGTACATGTAGGTTATTAATAATCATTTTTCAATTTCAAATTTTTTATAAATTTAATTTTATGACTCATTGTATATTATATATCTTTCTCTTTCTATTTTTAATAGGAGTAAAATTAAAATTTATTCACTTTAAAACATAATTAATAAGTTGACAGTGTCATTCCTTAATTGCAATGGATTAGTTAAAAATGCTTTATAATAAGAATCGGAACATACTAACGTACAAATAATTTTTTAAAAAAACAAATCCTGTATAAACTATGGTTATATATGTATATAGTATTTCACTTTTTTAATTCTTGAAAACTGCAATTTAATGAAGTGAAATATGGTCCATAACTAAACAAGTAGACGAGGGCATGAATTAGAAACACGAGGCCACTCCTTGAATATTGACGGCAGTAAATTAAATGCAGAAATGTCTATTTTTTATTTTTATAAAAAAGAAACGTTATTGGGAAAATGGAGGGAAATGAACGGAGAAAAAATGGAGAGACGCCAGCTCCGAATATTCAATGCTCAATGCGTACACGGAAGTGCAATGAGCATGAATGATGGCCACGTGTACCCACACCCAGTCCAAGGTTTCAAGCCTCGGCGCCTATATATACCCTCCTCCCTCCTCATTCTCATAAAAACTCGCTCCTTCGCACACACCATGAATACCCAACTTGTTCTTTCCCTTGTTCTGGCCTTCTTCTTCTTCGCCGGTATTGGTATGTTCACCATCATTCAATTTCTTCACGCTCTTTATATATACTCATCGGTCTCAGAATATTAAATGTTATATATACGTATATATAATTTCATGCAGGGGCTCAAGCTGCCACAATCACTTTTACCAACAAGTGCCAATACACAGTATGGCCGGGAACTCTAACAGGTGACCAGAAGCCTCAGCTGTCCAAGACCGGGTTTGAGTTGAAAAGCGGAGCGTCCACCACCGTGGGCGTTCCATCTCCATGGTCGGGTCGCTTCTGGGCTCGAACTGGATGTACTAATAACGCTGGCAAGTTCACTTGCGCAACCGCAGACTGTGGCTCCGGCCAAGTAGCATGCAACGGCGCTGGTGCGGTCCCGCCTGCAACCCTAGCCGAGCTCACCGTGGCGGCAAACGGAGGACAGGATTTCTACGACGTGAGCAATGTGGACGGGTTCAACGTCCCCATGTCCATAGCTCCACGAGGCGGTAAGGGCGACTGCAAGCCATCGAGCTGTCCGGCGAACATCAACGCGGCGTGCCCAGCGGAACTGCAAGTGAAAGGCTCGGGCGGGAAGGTGATCGCCTGTAAGAGTGCTTGCTTGGCTTTCAACAAGCCTGAGTACTGTTGCACAGGAAGCTTCGCCGGCGGACCGGACAAATGCCCGCCCACCAAGTACTCAGAGTTTTTCGAGAAGCAATGCCCTGGTGCTTACAGCTACGCTTATGATGACAAGAGCAGCACCTTCACTTGTTTTGGCGGCCCTAACTATGTCATAACATTCTGTCCTTGAACTTCATCACCTCCGCAGCTCCGCTCCGTAAAGAAGATGGACTCTCTTATATATTATTAGTTATCTAGACAACAAGGAATAATATGGCCAGCACTTGATTAAATAATTAAGTTTCGTTTGGTTATTAAAATAAAATGATTGAAAAAATCAAAATAAAAATGAATTAATTTTTTTATGTAATAAAACTCATTAATATATATTATAAAATTAAAAATCATTATATCCTGTTAAAATTTTATGAATCACAATTCTCAAACTCATAAATTAAATTACATCTTCCCTTATAAATGTGATTACTTATTTTCTTTAATCATGTTATTTTTTTATTTTTTATAATCTATTATATATATATTTTTTTAGGAAACAAACGAGAACTTACATCTCGTGAGAGGAATAAATGGCCTCCTACTCATGGCGTTGAATGCACTGTATTATTGAGACACCTTTCTGTATATATCTGCAGAAGGATACAAGGATATACATATCCGTGTGAGTGTGTGTGTTATATACACAATTTTCGTTCCATTTTCTGAATGCCTTTAAAAATTAAATTATTTATGTGCATATACGTGCCTGTGTACACCAGTACTTGCTAGTTGCCACTGAACAAACACATGGGCGGTGGCTAGGGCTCACGAGTGAGGGCTGCAAAATCTTAAAGCTTAAGAGGTAGAGGTGAAAATAATAAAACTCGAACATAAATAATTTAAAATTTTAAGAGTATAAATGCATGATACTAAAAATTTATACATTGAATTTAAAAAGATTTTCAAAGTGAGGAGTGCATTTGTCCCCTCATTCCAACGTGATTACGCCATTATTTTTGGATCTATTTGTGGTACGTCACTATTTTTGGATCTATCTTTAGTACTCATCACCCTTCATCAATGTGATATAACCTAGACCTTCTAGATTTTTAATTTGGATAGTTCAGATTTAAAGAATTAATTTAATATTTTTATTTTATTTAAATTTTTAAAATTTAATTATGTATAAAAAAATTTAAAAAAATTTTTAAAATTTAATAATGTAGCTCAAAATTACCTAAAAAAATATATTTTTATTATAAGGTATTTTATAGCTAATCTAATCTATATTTAATTTGAAGGGTCCAATTAATATTAATTTTTTTTATTTTTTATATATTAACTATCCAAATGTATTTTGCATGCTCCAGGTTTAAAATTTGTAAATTATAGTTTTTTTTAAAATATTTTTTAAAAAGTTCTAGTTAAAAGATTACATATTTTATTTTTCAATATTATATTTATCAAAATAAAAAATAAAAACATTAAATCTAGACCTTACAGATAACAATTTAATATTGAATCTAGATTGTCCAGATTATATGTAAATAGTCAATTTATAAAAATTATAATATTAAATTAAACCACCCAAATTAAATAAGTACTGTCCAAATTGATAATAAACTATTTATCCAAAAATTTATAACTTTTTATTTTAATAAATAAAATTTAAATTTAAAAAATTCTGGGCCGTCCATGAGCTTGATGAGCACTGAAGATAGATCCACTATTTTAGGGATGCAGATCACGTGCAGTGTGTTTTAGATTAGTCAAAAAACTGTCTTTGCATACCAGGTGACTCATGAATGCACTAAGGAAGGATCCACTATCATCTCGCAAAATACTGCCACACGCTGCCTTCATCTCAACGGTCGAAAAGGCCCCATCAACGTTCACTTTCATCCATCCCTGTAAAGGCGGCTTCCATCCTTCCTTGTTCCACTGCAGCTCGCCCTCCTTTACTTGATTTTTCGTTAACTTGCATCTGGCTGCCATGCTAGTATCCACCATAATCCTTGCATGAGAGATGATATCTGAAAGTCGCATTTATTTATGTTCAAAGACAAATAGGTTTCTCCGTTTATTTATTTTAAAATAAAACAACATATTAAATAGAGATAGAGATAAATATAAAAAAAATAATATTAATTTAAAAATAAGTAGTTATATTATTAGAGGTAAGATTTAATTAAAAATGATTATATATTTAGGTACTTTTTTTAATATACTTTTGATTGGGCTTAATTATGTTTTGGAAGTGAGCCCCAAAATATTTACGGCCTATAATTACGGTTTAAAGAAGCCGACTGAGAGATTTCCCATCAAAGTTTGGGTATTATGTATTTTTGGGCCATATATAACTAAATATTACTTTAATTCTTAGTAATAATAGTTTCATATCCGAATCTTTATACCATGAGCTGTCACCAAAATTTCATGTAATTTTTGTTTGCTAATATGAATTTCACGTAATTAATCGATTATTTTTAATGACCGGTCTAATTTTTAATGCCTTGCCAAAAACTGCTGCACATGATCCGAATCCCTATATATTTTTAGGAAGTTAATGAAATAAAAGGATATTGAAAATCAGATTTTAATTTTGAAGTGTTTGATATCATAAGTGCCATAATTAATATTCCCTCTATTTTAAACAAGACATTCTTAAATAAAATCACATATAACAATAGTTTCATTAAATATATTGAATGGATAAAAAGCATGCTGAACTACACGGGAAAGGAAGTGCTTTTAAATGGATCTCTTGCGGTTGCGAGTTTAGCTGTGATGCAATGATGCATGAGCTGTAAATAATAATGGAAATTAACAATAAAAGCATTATTTATTTTGGGTTCAGCAATGGTATTCGGATTCGAATTTGATTGAAGTGGTCTTTATATACTCTATAACATTGGATATTACAAGTACGCTGCTGAAAAAAATATTACCGTTCTTTGTAATTTAATTTCTTCCGTTCCAGCCTCACCAGAAGCAACCAATGATTCCCCCACCACTAGTTTTATTGTTTGATCAAAATATCTTTAATTTAATTTTCTGGTTAAGATGTGTTTTTTAAACTCGAAGAAGGTTATTACAGTGAACAACATTTTTCACCAGAAATTAGAGTTAACAAATTTGAACACGTAAAGAATTAACACGTTCCCTTTCAAAGATTATATATATATATATATATATATTTAAAAATAAGATAACGTATATGTATAATTCTAAAAAATAAAAAAAAATACTAAATCATATATATTTATATATACATAATAGAAATAAAATTCATATAAATAACATATTAAATGCCTTCAGGTGTTGGAATTTACAGTAAGTGGATCAATTAAATCAGTTACGGAGAGTGGATCCATTTTAACTAGGAAGCCCGAAGTCCGAATACACAAAACTGCCGACAGTACAGCGTGTTGAACAAGGCACTGTGTGATGTGGAGCTGCATGTCCCGGCCTTAATCACTCTCTTGATCATAAGTTAAGTTAGTTGAACCCTCAAAGTTTAGGTAAAAAAATTAGAATGCTTAGAATATATGAGAAAGTAGAGAGTTTAGATGAGAAAATTTAAGAGTTGTGTTATTTTGCTCTATGATTACAAGTAAGGAGTGAGGAGAATATTTATAAATCTCTTCCATTTTTTAAAAAGTTTTCACTTCTGTAGTGGACCATAAAAATTAATATAATCCAATGGTCTACAATGATTCTCTAAAATATATGATGATAATATCTAACCAATTATTCTATAATATAAAAGATAGACATGTCTCTAAAATAATTTAAATATTTTTTATGTTTTTCATACTATTCTAAAAATATTTGAGTTTTTTTGGAGTGTACCGGCATGTTCCTAAAGATTTTGGTGCTTTTTTGGTTGTTTTGAACCATTCCAATTTCATCTGAATCATTCCCCGAGCTTCTAGAATATCCTAAGCACATGAATTTTTCTATCATTGTCACATGGGGGTCCAAAACCTGCTTCCTCGGTAACGTCGCCAAGGCTTCAAGAGCCAATCAATACATATTCTAGAAACTGGATCAAGTTCCGAGTTACTTTGAATGACCCATGTCCCCGATAATCTTTTTTTTTTTTTTGCCTGAATTGGTAATCTTATAATCATCATTAACTTACCATTCATAAAGATAAAATATTAAGATTTTGAACACTCGTGCTTCGTGTGAATAGTAATGTCAAGTTCGTGGTTCAGTAGTCAAGCCGCGGCGAAATCAATATTAAATAAATCAATATATTTAAAATAAAAAAAAATTATCTATGACAATAAAAAATAAATATTTAAATCTAAAAAATAATATACAATAAAAAGGAGAGGCAATATCCATCAATACTTCGTCTTTTAATGTATATGCTTATTTCATAAATTAAAATCTATAATTTTAGAATACATAAATGTATGTATGTATTGCATGTTTCTTATATATTTAGCATTTACGCAGTTTTTCTTTCTTCCCAATTCTTATTAAATATAGATACACATAAATTGCAGTTAGTAAGCATTAATTAAAAGTTCAATTGATTCAACCACAAGTTTAAAAATTGGTTCATGACCGATTATCGAGCCCTTTGCTCTTTTTTTTTTTTTTTGCTATTTTCCGTACTATACATTTAATCGGTTTCTGATTCAACCAACGAATGGGATGATCCTGTCCAGTCTTTCGAAACAACGGCGAACAGTCTACGTCATACATGTACGATTTATCAAATCCAGGCACATACTGTAAACAGTTATTCTCTCAACTTAGTAGCACTGTAAGACATTTTTTTATAATGTCATGTCAAAAAATATAGAATCTTTTAAATCTTTTTAAATGTACTTTCCTCAATCATATTATAAATTATATTATAAAAAACTCATTTAATTTTATTTACAAATTATAATATAATTTTTTAAATAATATTTAAAAAATATTTTTAAAATTATTTTTATGAAAAAAAAGTAATATAAAATTAATTTTTATATTATTATATAAAACGTATTTAAAATTTTACACATATTTATTCTTTTTATTTTTTTTACATTGGTGTTGATAAAATTGATGAAAATAATTTATAAAGAGAATCAAATAAGTACTTATTAATGTTTTTTAATTAAAATATCTTATCATATAATGATAAACATAGAAAGAGTGTATAATTTTAAATACAATTAATTAATTAATTAATTGAAAAATGTAATTCAATTAAAAGTATTTATTTTATCTCATTTTATAAGATATTTTTAGATAAAATTTAAAATTACATATACCTAATAAAATTTATTAAACACACATTATAACTTTATTTTTTAAAATAAAAATAAAAATTTCTAAAAATTCCTATAATTTAATATTTTATTTATCAAAGAATGTTAAAGAGATAATATAATGGAAAGGATAATATAAAAAATTATTTATAAAATTTTTTATCAAGACATCTTATGTTTTAAAACACTAAATTTTTCTAAAAATATCTTATAATTTAAAATAAAAATAATTTTTGAAAATACAAAGTGGAGGGAGTATTTGATATCGTGCTAGAGATCCACATTTTAGTGATTTTCAATGTAAAATAAAAAAAAATTATACCTAACAATTACTCATCTATATATATATATATATATATAAATTATTTTTGACATGTTTTATTGTTAAAATAAAAACTTAAACAAGTTCATAACTTGCCGAAGTTAAATATGCATGATTCAATGACATATTTTTTTATCAATATTTAAATATAAAAAGAAAAAATTAACAAAATATTAATAATATAATTTACAAATATGATTTAAAAAAATATTCCCATTTTTCCTTTGTTTTGTAAATAGCATCTGAGTATAATATGTTAGAATGTTTATTTATAAATTTACATTAATTAATAAGCCAAAATAAATTAGTCTTGATGATCTTGTGTGAACTGTGATAGGTGGACCATACAAGTGAACCTATTGGGCAAAGACTCAACCTATAACCCACTAACCATCAGTTATTTTCTATCTCTTAATTGCCCGATTTAGAGATAATAAAATATAATTAATTAATTAATTATTTAATAAAGTGGTTACTGATTTGATTCTTATAAGTCGATCAGTCGATAATCATTAAACACACGATACTTTTACTTTCTCCATTATCTCGCACTCTTTGAAAATTACGGGGGTTTAGTGGGTTGTACATCTCTGTCTATACTTGAAATAATCAAGATATCTCAATTGATAATGATTTTTTCAGATATGTACACATTAATTTATTTAATATTATTTATTTATATGATTGAGATATAATTTAACATAGTAATGATATTATACAGAAAGAAATGATGTAATTTTTGTTACTCTTTCAATCATTCCCTTTTCGCTTAAGCCCCTTTTCTGTGCTTCGGCTTAAGCTTTATCAACATTTCATGTATGTGCCTAGTATTTATTGGAGAGAGGACTACAATGAAAGCCATGCATGAAGAAAAACCTTAAATAGGCTCATAACTCGCTCATGTAAAACACACATGATTTAATAATACATTTTATCTCACTAATATAAAAATAAAAAATTGAAAAAATTAATAATATAATTTATAAATAAGATTAAAAAAAAACATATAACTTTAAATCCTTCTACTTTATTTAAGTTTTGCTATATATTTTTGTGTTTTTTTTGTTCTAAGTTCCTAAATTTTTTTTTTGTATTCTAAGTTCTTCCATGAGTGATGTTAGGGGACGTAGAACACAAAAAAAAAAAAATAGAGACCTAAAATATTTAAAAAAAATGCCAAAATTTATAATGAAATTTGAACAAAATACAGAGATCTAAAGTTATAATTACTCTTAAAAAATCTTCCTTTTTTTTGTTTTATAAATAGCACCCGAGTATTGTAATGATCTTCTAGATAGAGAAATGATGTAATTTTTGTTGCTGGCCATTATTCAATCGTTCCTTTTTCACTTAAACCCGTTTTTGGTGCTTCAGCTTAAGCTTTGTCAACATTTCATGTCTGTGCATGATATTGATTGCAATCCTATGCAAAGTTTTAAAAATTGAATTGGTTATTGAATCAGAGAAGACACTAATTCACATGTTAATGGTTTATCTGTGATCAAATTGTGATCAAACTAGTTATAACTAATTTAATATTCTTAAATAATAATAATACATATAAAATTAGGAAAAAGTAATATAGAATTATAAAAATAACATTTAAAATTAAAATTATTTATCTAAGATCAAAGGAAATTTATAAGTTATTTAATATAACTTATCTTTTAATTTGTTTAAAAAATGAAAGTACGTATTTAGGATGATTCATCCTATTCATTTCGCAATGTGAAAGGCATTTAATGACATTAAGTTGAATTTCTTTTCTATTAAAAAAAAAAGCTTCTACATTAACCCGAAAATCCATTAATTTTCCCCTTCTCAATTGCATTTCCGCTTAGTTGGTTAAAAAAAAAAAATTGCGCTTCCGCTTCCCGCTTCCCCTATCTCGCATTCTTTAATTTTAAATTTAATATAATTAAAAAATAAGGCAGCATGTGCTACAAGGACATCATTATTTCACATCTTTTTCTATCCTCATTATAAAATATTTTAAATCATTTTACGTATTTCAAGAAAATATGTTAAACCCTAAATACAATTTTTTCTCCCATAGGAGCCCCAGATAAAATTCTCCCTATTTTTATTGTAAATATGATGGATCAATTTCTGCATAAGCACACCTGATGATAATTTGTTATAAAATAACTTTTCTTCTTAGCTTTTTCTTTGCATCTCCTTCGATCCCCTGCTTTTTATCTTTTTCTTTTTTTAAGCTTCCCTTCCTTTATGTTTTCAGATTTAATACTTGAATTGGTCAATATGCATACCATTCATTCACTTTTCACGATTTCTATAGTTCGTTAATCAATTAACCAGTTCTTGACCAATCTAATTCCTTCCCCGTTTTTCTACCTCAACTGGACCGAACCAATGATTAATTCCCAGTTCAATCGGTTAAACCCACCAATTCAGTCCAATTTTTAAAATCTTAACCTCTTATGTAAGCAGCTCTATAGAGTAATCCTTTTAAAGTGTGTTTAATTTAAGGGTATTGGAAGCCAGTAGGGAGGGAAAATGCTCTCCACCCCTCATTTGGTTAAAAAAATTTGGAGGAGAGGAGAGCCAAAATTCCCCCCCCCCCCACAAAAAAAAAAAACCTTGCGTAGCTAAAATTTATGAATAGCTTGCCCTCAACATTTTACTAAAAACGTTCCCTTTCAATCATGCTTTCTCACAAACGTCGTCTCCATTGGCTCACTGGCAAATTTTTTTTTTTTTTTAAAAGGCTTACACTCTCGGGTTTGCCTTCATGGCCATGGAAAATCCGTTCAAACCAAAGCCTCCCTTTACCATCGACACTTTGCTTTTAGAACCGTCGAAGTGCTCCCAGCCTCTCACCATATTTTGCTTCCACTGTTTAGTTTTATTTGCTTTTTTTTTTTTTTCAATCAAAAGGCCAAAGGAAAGGAGAATATTTACAGAAAAACAAACAGAAAACTAAAATTAAATAAAAGCAATAACAGTTCCTAATCAATATCGATATATAACAATAATTAGTATAAAAATTATAATAATTTAAAAAAAATAATATAACACATCATTTAATTATAATTTAATATATGAGCATGCGGTCATCCTCTTTTCTAAAACTCAATAGCGCACACCACTACAAGAAGACAGAACAAGATACAATCAAAATACAAACGGAGAAAAATATAGTAGCACAACAATTTATTTCAAATAAATGTTTTTAGAAATAAAGACTTGTGATGCAAGGTATAATGATAATAGCAAAAGAGTATACAACCCAAATATAATCATAAATTAAATTAAAACAAACCTGATCACCTACATGGGGCTCACGCCCAGCACGAAATACAAGGTTGGACTTGCTTCGCAAAACTAATCAAGATATATGTGTGTGTGTGTGTGTGTGTGATTACAATTGGGGGGAAAAAATATTACACCTCTGGACTGTGGTATAACATCAAATGACATTATAATACTCATGAATTTTTGTAAAAAATTTCTTTAAAAATTCAAAAAGAATATAAGAGTTACCTCCTCAATCGATAAATAATAAAAATAAACAAGTCGATATCTTGCTTGTTGTTTGGAGCAATTGTTGAAAACAACAAAACCATTATTCAAACAAAGGGGTTGAACATTCCTAATAATTGGTATAAAAATAATTAAATGATGTTTCATAATAAGGCTCAGCATTAAAATGATTACAATATGCATAAACATATATATCCCAAATCACGTTTACTTTGTCAAGATGATAGGATAATACCTCAATAATTTAAATTATCTAAAGCACTCCAAATACACAGACATGAACATGGATAAATGTTTGCTGATACAATACTCGCAATATATAAAATGCAGAAATAATATTATCAACAAGTGTGGGAAACATATTTTCGAACTCATTATACTTTGAAATAGAAATCCTAGGATCAACTTATCTAAAAATTTAGAATAATAATTTCTTTTGAAAAATTAAAAGTAAGAAGAAAACACACTCTTTCTTGAAAACAAGTTCTTTTAAAGGAACCCACAAAGCACAAGATATTAATTATAGGTACACAATCCATGTGGGTAAGTCACCAATTAAATGTGATCTTAGACCACGAGCAACAAGTGTGATTTGTACGCCACAAGTAACAGGCTTGGGTCATAGGCCACAAATGATAGATGTGACACATAGGCCGCAAAAAAATAGATGGTGACACACAATCAACAAGGATAAGTAACAAATCTGAAATAGCCTGAAGCTACAAAAACAGGCATGGGCATTAGGTTCATGAAAAACATGCGCGTTGTGCTTGGTTCATCCATAAGTGTTCATAGGTATATTAGAGATCAACCCTTCAATATATGAAAATTTTTATTACAAAAGAATCTAAACAACATTCATAAGCCAATTTTCAAACTTTCTCGTGGACTCATATTTGCTAGTAAAAATTTCTTTCAGTAATAAAAACATTCTAATTATTATAAAAATAGTTGCAAACATCTCAATTTCAAATATTCACCAAATACTTGCTAAATCTCACTTTCAAATCTGTATCCAAATACTTGCTAAAGGCTCTTTTAGAACAACAAAGCCCTTTAAGCAATGGTGAATATAAGTCATACCATGATGATATAACTAAACAGCACTTATAATTATATATCAATCAAAGCAAATCCTCCTTTATGTATAAATATTCCACTAACTCATTTTAACATCTCATTTTAACATTCAATTTGTCAAGCTCAACCCAAGACAAATGTATGCAGCAAGATAAACCAAGGTTTTTAGCATGGAAATCCATGATATATGACTACTTAAGATGCTTTAACCAAAGAGAGGTGTGCCACAACAAATCTTACACATTTTTATGAAACTTGAAAATGTTATTAATTTTAGAGGCATAAATCAACACCAGTATTTTAAGACAACCGGGACAAATTTCTCATGGAAAAACAATGCTAAATAGTCATGCCTTTGAATTTATTCCAATTATAATCATCACTATAAAGACCAGTGGCAAAATAACCACTATCACCCCTAGAAATATAGTCTATCCAGCAAGGAAAAGCAAGTAGGAAGACCAACAAAAACATAATTATTACAATTACAAATTTTCATGACAGCAAGTACTTCAATTCAAAAATAATTGTACAGTATGCTTCCTAATAGACTGGAATTTCACACAGTACCACAATATGAATTGACATTCAGACATGCTAGGAGCTAAGAGAATAACTAGGAAACAACACAATCATATTACAACATCATTCGATATTCCCAATGTCTTTTCAGTACATAATTGAACCAAAGAAATTGAAGAGAATGAATAGCTGACCATATCTAAATAACATAACCTTTTACCGAGAGTTTAATGAAACTTTAGGAACATATTCAACGCTTATATAGCAATACAGAGATTAAATAATACTCAATATTCAACACTTATATACCAATACAGAGATTAAATAACACTCAATGTCTCAATATCACCCATTAATTATCGGTCTTCAATCAAAACAGTCAGTAATAACAAGATTTTCCTTAAAAGCCCTATTTCTCATGTGTCCCTCATACTGATGTTGAGGGTACTTAATTCCTATAATCCTTTGAAGGAGTTATTAATTATCTGCAATGATAATGACAGTAATTAGGACTTTTCTAGTTAATTATCTCTGAAAAAATATGATATTGTCTTGGCCCATACTTTCATTGCATTAATATTAGAACAATCATATTTGAGACTCTCTTACCGCTCCTCCTTTTAAAGCTACAAGCCTGATTCACTAGGCTAGATTGAGGATGGAATGTGATTATGTGAGGCTTAGAAGCTAGCATGGCTTATAACTCTTCTCAAAGACTCATTCATATAATATGCTAGCCAGTCACATAGATTAATGCTGATGAGAGCCTCTAGTTGCATCCACAGCCAGCAAAGGTTAAAATTCATGGACCTATCTGACATCAGAAAGCTCAATTTTATATTCTTTAATAAAAGGTAAAAAGCTTTGAGATTTTGTGCTGGATGCTTCAACTGAGCATCTATATATATTTGGTGTGAATTCTTACATTAGAGCAGCAAGGTGATTCCAAACAAGAAGATGTAATGTTTTAAGTAGGATTCCCATATATTCTTATTCTAAAAAGATTTGAATTGTACAAAAGCTTTTAATTTCTGCTCCGTCTTCTATAATTTTATATTATTCATTTCTTTAAACAACTTCTTAAAATCTCCCAGGTTTCAAACAAATGAATTAATTAGCTTCCTTTCTAATCTAATCATTAGCACAATAATCACACTCAAATGCTCAATCCAATATATATTGCCTTCCTCACACATTTCATCAAACATATTGTGTGCATAAAAATACTAAACCAAAACATAAGCATCTCAATTCAAAAACTACCAACAATACTTTTCCACATCAACACAATCTCTTAAAGATTCCATAAGCAATTTCTTAACAAGGTTTTTATTAAAATAAAAGAAAAACAGAACCGTAACCTCTTCTTCTCTATCCTATCACAACTAGTGAATTATAATGATATGCCTAGACCAAAGTAAGTTTCTTAATCTAATAATTTTCATATAGTCACACTCTAGCTCCCTTATTGTCTCTCAACCAACAGCAACCCCAAGGGAAATAAAAGAAATGGGGCACACCTTATAGGGAACAGGCGAGGAAGAAACACGAGAGCTACATGCCGAAGCTAAACTTCTCCTTGCGTGCGCGGGCTCCCTCTGTCCAGCCACCGAATTTTTCGATTCCCCTCTAGAAGAATGAGGCAACTAGAGAAACTTTTCTTTGAGCAAAGTCAAATATACCCCCAACTGAAATATGTAAATAATTAAGTGTGCCAGTGTGCAAAATATATAGTTTAGAGTGTTGGTAAAAAAAAAAAAAAGATAGTTTAGAGTAAAATACTCTAACATGTATAACCCTCCCTTAATATAAATAAATAAATAAATAATATAAATATTCTTTTAATTTTTAATATTTCATTTATTTTTACACAACTATCGATTGGTCATTAAGTTATACATGTTAAACTAAAATATCTTTTTTAAATAAAAATGTTATCTAAAAATAATTCTAAATTACTAAAAAATTCATTCATATATTTTTTAATTATTTATTTATTTTTAATTTTTCATTTATATAAACATATTTATTTAACAACATTTTCTAAAATTTTAATACATAAATTGTCTAAAATATATTTTAAACACATAATTAAAAAAACTTAAAGAAATAATATGATTTAATGTAATAAATTACTCAATATAATTCATATTTATTTTTTAATTTTATTAATTTAACACAAAATTTAAAATTTTTATTTAAATATTGATGTGATTATTTAAATTTTTAAATCGGGAAAGGAAGTAGACAATTAAATTATAAAGATAAAAAATAATTTTAAAATTTTGCAACATAATTACAAATAAAAAATTAAGTATTTTGAAATTTTTAATGAAATATTTTTAATAGTGTTAACAATGAAGGTATAGGTTTTAAAAATAAAAAGAATGTCTCTATAATTTAAACAAAACATAAAAGAGATCATTATATACTATACATTTTATAAACTCAACTCACTAGGGACAAACTAAAATTTCCAAAATAACACTACAAAAATTTAACTAAGATCCAGCTATAAACAATAGCATGAACTTGACCAAAAAAAGAAAAAAGAACAATAGCCATAGACTCCATTAGGGCACTAATTTATTCATTCATTGTTGTTAACATATTTTTTTATAACATTATGTTAAAAAATAAAAATATATTTTTAAATTTTTTTACCACTTTCTTTTACACTTAAGAACCACATTTCCCAATCAAAAGCTCAACTTCACCACCAATAAATTTATTAATTTCTGTTAATCATTTTAGTTTTATTTAAATAACATCTAATGTATTATTCGACAACTCAAAACCTTACCCAAAGTGGTTAACCCTAAATCCAAACTCAAAACCTTGCAAAATTCTTAAAACTAAGTTTAAATAAGTTAAAAAACTTGCATTAATCCAATTTAGATCAATGGATTTGAACTTATAGCGTTAAGGTTTGAAAATTTATCATCTCAAAGCAAGACTCGAGTTGAAAAATCAAATAGAGGAGGAGGAAAAGGTGAGGAAGATGTTTATCTTGACTATGGGAACTTAAACCTCTTTAAAATTGCCTTAAGAGCTTGCTTTAGCAGGCCTAAGTCTTCAACCCCTCACCCCTCTTCTATTTCAAGTCTAAGCTATATCTCGTCTTTAAATGTTTTAGACCATTCATCGTAATGCATGGTGCATCTATCACAGTGAATGGTACAAAATGGGCCTTCATGATTTTGTCTCACAATTTAGGCATAGATGGCCCAATTTGCCTTTAAACTTGACCTAGAGGCTATACCTAAAACCAATAAACTTGTTAGCTATCATTAACCATTAATAAACTAATCAATACCCAACATTAGTTAATTGTCCTTGCTTAATTTACTTAATTTGGGAATTTAAAATTTAAAATATTACACTTTATGTATATGAATATCCTTTTTCCTTCACACAATACTTTTTAGTTTGCTACAATAATCTTTGAAAGTATTAACGATAGCCAAAGTCTATGCATCATTGGTAGAGTTAGAGGCAATTTTTTCTTGGAATAAATAACATTCCACCTTCTCCAAAGAAGCCAACAAATAGTTGAGAATTATGAACACCGAGCAATACCATCATTTTTCCTTGAGGTCCATACATTCCCTTTAATCCACTCTTGAATGCTTGCCTAAAAAAATTGGCCCTCTTTATTCATGTGGAAGGATCTCTGTCCAGAAGCGTTGTGTGGAATGGCAATCGGGGAGTACACAAATGATGTCGTCAACAGCATCCTTGGAAACCTCTCATCGATCACCATCATGCATTCCTCGTTTCTTGTGACCTGCATTAATAAGAAGTTTGTTATGATAAGAAAGCCATAAAAAATACATCGTTTAGGAATCCGCAGCTTCCACATCTTACTCCATATGCTGTCACAAATTTTTGTGTACTGAGCCATCGAGTCATGAGCAAATTTTAGTTGCATGACTCGCTTTAATTTGAAGTTGATAGGAAAAATATTAATTTAGATCAAAATAATACATATCTTTTTCTTTCAAGCAATAATATATATTATGTCCCTCCAATAATAATGTTTCTTCATTAAATACATTTTATAATCTTACTTCTTAAAATACAAATATAAATTTTTTAAAATATCTTTAATTTAAAATAACCTTATTTTGTGAAACATTGAATAGAAAGAAAAAAAATATAATAAAGAGTGAAGGATAATATTGAAACAAGTATAATTAATAATTTTTTTATCAAAATACCATATATTTTGAGATGTTGAATTACCTCCAAAAATATATTTCTATTGGTAAAAAATATAAGGCATTTTTTTAAGCTTAGATGCAAAAAAAAAAAAACATAAGGCATTTTTAATTTTAATTTTTCAACATGTATTTAATGAATTTTTTATAAAAATAAATTTAATAAATAAATTACTCAACCCTTTACTTTTAAGTGACATACTCTACTAAGTAAGAACAGACATAAAAAGATAAAAAACAAACATGAAAAGACAAAGAATAAATATAAAAAGATAATATCAATTCAAAGACAATTAACTAACACTATTGCATAAAATACATTTTATGTCAGATATTTAAAAATCCAAAATAAAAAAGGCAGGATGTTTTTGAAAATAAAAGAAATACTTTTAGCGATTTTGTCAAATTTTTTTTTTGAATGAAGAGTATGTGATACACTCATAATTTCATGAGATTTGATAATTATTTTGATCATTTATAAATGTTTTTTTTAAGAAATTGTTTGGTTTAAAGAGGGAAAAGGGATTTTGCTCCCTTTATCTGACTTCGAGAAGTTTGGATGACAAGATGAAAAATATAAAACACACACATATTATAATCATTCTGAGTGCCCGATTCAATATAATTAAAATTTTAAAAAGCTGACAAGGGTCAATAAAAAAAAAGTCAACGAGGTATTAATAAACGCGTGCTTTATTCATGAGGGAATTTTTTTTTTTGATATTTTTCTAAGAGGCAGTGCTGCCTGCCTATGAACCTATTTTGGTCGTCGTTTCGTTGTCGAACTTTTCCAGATGTGATGGTCCTCACTGTGAATTGGTTTTAGTGTAATGTTAGTATTTGGGGGCTTCCTCATAATTGCGAGCCAGTTTGAATAAGACGCACAAATGGAATTGAGGAAGGGAAATCATGCTTGAAAATTGCCATAATAATACACATAACTTTAGTGGTTGAGCAGTCTTTCTCGGTTCCTCCAGAGATCAATATGAAACACATACAATTACTAGAGATTCGCGAATACTCTCCATTACTGTCATGATTCACATGTCCCTCAATTTTCTCCAAAGCCCAGCACTAGGATCCACTCAAGAATACCTCCAAAGCCAATAGTGATATGCATGCTCTTCAATCAATCAAACCAAGCACTTTGAATTTATGGTCAATTAATCTAGCTTTTGTTGCATAAAATTAATAAGCATGAATTCCGTCCAAGTTTTTATGATATGTATGTAATGAAATGCTCAGGCCAGTGAAACTAAGCATTTATGACTGCAAGAGGAAGCAATCGCTTTTGCATCAAGCAATATGACACTTATTCAATGGATATCTTTCAGGCCCTCAATTTCATACCCAGACTGTAATGAATTCGAAGGAGCCAAATGGTTACTATGACCCTATCATAAATGATTCTCTTAAAAAAAAAAAAAAGTCATTCTTTTGCTTACTAAGGTTTTTAAATTTGCTACTTCCACATACATTTCTCATTTCGCTTTCAAGTTTCAACTTGTCCGCCACATCGAGGGAGCCATTTGTGACTAATTGGTTATGGAACGATATCCAACAACCAACACGCAATTCAATATTCCACAATGCTAGATTCAATTTGGTTATGGAAAATGGCAGTCTGCATGCAGGTAAATTAATCTTATGTGAGAAGTCCTTTTTTTTTTGGTTCCTTTTTTGACTAGCACAAGTCCATTTTTTATTTATGGAAAAATTAATATTTTAGTCATGCAACTTTTAACTCACTTATAACTCAGTCCCTCAACTATGACTCGCTGTGACTCAATCCTCCAACTATAACTCACTGCAACTCAATCCCTCAACTTTTGATTTACTTATAACTCGATTCTTATTTTTTATTTTTTTTTAATTTTTTTATCAAATAAGAGGGATAAAAAAATGCTCATATATTATTTTAAAATATCCTCTTCTTATTCATTAATGTGAAATATAAGTTAACATGAAAAAAAAATTAACAAAGGTTAAAGGATTAATTTGTAAGTAATTCAAAAGTTGAGAGACTGAGTTATAGGTGAGTTATAGTTGAGGGACTGAGTTACAAGTGACTTAAAAATTGGAGGACTAAAAGATTAATTTTTTCTTTATTTATCTATTCGAATAGTAATCAATATTGTAAGGTTTTTTTTCCCTAAGACGATGGGGGGTTTGAATCCAGGATCTTCTACTAACCACTCACACCTCTTACCATTGCATATAGGATAACAGTAGGAGAATAAATCTTCCAAATAGAAATGGGCATAACAAGCAAAGTATGCTTATTACAAAAGTATGAGGCCGTATCAAGCGTGTTGGATATTATAAAATATCCAATGCAAGTTGGAGCACTTTCAGATCTATCATTTGATGTCAATATTGTTGGCATTTACCAATCTACTTTTTAGTCCTTGGTATA